GAAAATCAACTTTCAAATTTTATTCAAAAAATAAAATCAAAGTCAAAAGCTTACACCAAAATCAAAACACTTGCAGCACAGGTCTCTTCCCCAGCCTTTTGATCTCCCTATCCATGTTGCCAGTGAGCATGAACCCGAACATCTTGAAGTCACACAAGAGGGACCAAAAGGGGTGTCTCAAAGTCTCTGGGAAATTCCTCTCAACGAACAAGTGACTGTAGAAGGCACATCCATAGCCAGAGAAAGGGACAAGGAACAAGAACCACCAACTGAAGAAGACAGAACAAAAGAAGAAGAGAATGCTAAAGAGGGTTCCCACGAAGTGCCAGCGCCTTGTGGAAGCCTTGGAGTGCTGGTTCATGTAAAAGGCCCAGAAATCTTCCAGGCTCCTGAAATTCATGGCTGCAAGGGAACAAACCCAAAATCCTGAGGTACCCAGGTGTGAATTTGAAGAGATTGGGGCGTAAAGGATTTCTGGGTGTTGTTGAAATCGCGGATTTGGAATCAAAATTGGAATCTTGTTGGTGGAGCGTACTGTATAATTTGAACCACAATTGTTGACCGAGACTTGAAACTTGAAAGGTGAAGTGTTGTGTTCTGGTTGGTTCTGTTCTGTGTTTGTTTGACCTCTATTTCTTTCCTTTTGGCTTTTTATTTTCTTATTCTGTATTAAGTTGGTAATTACTGAATTAATAAATATTCTGTTTTGAAAGTTATATAGAGTGAATTAAAGATGAAACATTTTAAATGCTCCTACAATATCATCTACTAATAAAATAAAAAAATATTGGAACCAGGAAAATAGTAAATTGAAGTTTTAAAATAATATTCCAAACTAAAATATATATATATATATATATATATATATATATATATATATTGATATATATTTATGTATATATATATTGATATATATATTTATGTATATATAATTACAATCAATTTGTAATTCGTAAATTAGATTTTCTAATCTAAAAACATGGGACATTTTAATTATTATTAATTTTCATTTTTACTCATTTATGTAACATTAGGAAAGAAAAAAGAAAACAATAATGAATTGTGTATTAAAACTTTTTAAATTCTTGGAAAATCAGGGTATGGTAAATTAAGTTATACAAAATGTTAACTTGACAAATGCATTAAACATTTAATGAAGACAGTCAAATGCAATTTTGAGTTGATTAGCACATTGTTAAAATATATTTGTAGATCTTGTTTTATACAAACTCTCATTTTATAATTGGCTACAATTCAATAATATGAAATTTAAGGATATTAGAGTTAAGAAAAAAAATTATATTTCATGTTTTTATATTTTCTTTTTATAAATATGTTTAGTTCTTGATGAACAAGGATTAAGTTCTATTATTGTAATATTTAAGATGAAATATGAGTATTCTTTACTCTTAATTATTTTTAACAAAAATTGAATATAATTTGAATAGTAGACATTTTGACAAAGACACCGATATTATTTGGAATGTCAATCATTCTTAGTGAAGACAACTTTAATATTCTTTAAACGAGTAGTCACTCAGCTAAAATTCAAGTATAATTTGAACAACCAATTATAGCTAGTTTGGAATGTAACTACTCTCTTGATTATAAATACACAAATTGTTCTTGGTTAGACCGTCTAAATCTCTCCTTGAGATTAAAACCTCACAAAAAATAAGGAACACTCTCGAAAAAAACATAATTTAAGTTAATCTACTTCATAAAGTGAAGAATTATAAAGGTTTTTACTTATCCACAAAGAACACATATCACTATATAATCACTAAAAGATTTAAAGAATTGTTTATTATAGTTGTGTTTTTAATCTTAAATAATTCAAGCAAGATTTGCACATATGACAATTAATCATAATTAATAAAAAAAACCTCAAGTTCTTTGTTTTCTTAAACATGTAACGTTTCAAGCAATCGACGGAACATTCCTTGAGTTAAGCAGTGGTCTTGTAAGGTAAGAGAAGCTAGATTTGTCTTAAATTATGTTTGTTTATATTAAAATAGAATATATAAGAATAATATGACGTATTGGATGAAATTATGATGGTAGTATAGAATTTGATAGGTATAAATAATAATAGTTGGTATTATGAAGTGTTTGTGATTGTAATAATTTGAAATTGATGTTCTATGCTGTTATGAATATGTGTGATGAAGTTGTGCTATTGTTTGAAAATGAATTCAAAATGATTGTGATGAGAAATGGTGAAATTTTTTGGTTTTATGCCTAAAATTGGGGTTTGTATGTTTGAGTTTGAGAATTTGGGGCTGATGTGAGGAAACTATTGTCTAGGTGCTGTCATGAAGTAAATTGGAACTTGTTAGGAAGGCTAGATGGTTGAAAACTGTTATGTAGCAAAGAGAGACTTTATATTTGAAGTTTTCAAGTGTTTTTGTATAAAAAGGGGATTTTGAGTAGTGAAATTTTAAGGTAATGAGTATAAACTGTTTTGGAAGGTTAGAAGTCTGTCATTATACCTATTAGGACTTGTTTATCTACTAAAATTAGTAAAATCTATCATGGAAGGGATATTGGTTTCATAAGTTGAGTTTCTAGTCTATTTTATAGGTTTTAGGTGTTGGGAATTGAAAGTAGGATAATTGGGATGAAACTAGGGTATTTAGGTATGCTATCTAGTGTACTAAGACTTGTCCATGCTGTTAGAGTGCTAAGTTTGAGTGTTGCAAAAGATATAATTGATTTTAGGCACTTTTGAGTTATTGAGTTGGTTTGGTACATTTAATTCTAATCCAAATTATCAGTGTAATACTCTACTTTCATTTATAAACATGTTTTCGTATCAATATTAGTGTTACATATTCTAAATTGATCATTTGGATATGTCTAAGATGCACTAAAACCAGAAAAATCAGGTTGCTGTAAAAAACTGATAAGAATAATTGATTATCTCATTTGATAATCGATTATTCCAGTCAGAGGGTCATATTTTCTTCAATGCTCTCGACAATAATCGATTATCACATATGATAATTTATTATTGTCGACCAAAATTCATCCAGAGCAGTTTTGAGTGGTTTTTGGAGTTTTGGGTATCATTTTTGGACGTTCTTTAGGTCATTTTGGATCTTTTGGACCCTTCCGGAGCTGTTAGTGAATATTTCAAAGCTGTCTTCCCTACCTAAATGTGAGTATCAAGATGCCATGAAGAAATTATGTTATTATGTGATTTATGATAACTTGTAAGAATGTTTATATTTCTTTAATGTATGATAAGTAGTCTCATGTATTGGTATACAATGTGAATGTGGAGTGATATAAATGGTTTCAAAGGTATGGAAGAGAGTTCTAAGGAGGAACTTCTTAGTGGAAGTTTCAAGTGTTTTTAGTATGAATATAGGGAGCTCAGTATTAGGGTTATCATGAAACTCTAATGGTCATATATTCTCAAATAGAGAGGTTTCATGCATGTGGTTAGAGTAACAGGAGGTCCGAGCCTAAGGGGCCTTTCTCCATTTGGCAAAAGGGCGTTTGAGGACTAACCTTGTGATGTGTGGTAGGTGAAACCCAAATATATATATATATGTGTGTGTGTGTGATTCATGATGTATGCTATGTTATAAATATTATATGACTTTTCTTGTATCTAGCTTACCCTTGTTTTTGTGTTGTTTATTGTGTGTTGTTTTTTCTTTTGTGATGATCACCTCAATTGTGTGAGCTTAGAGAAATAGTCTTTACAATTGCTCTAGCTAGAGGTCATGGTGAAGTAGAGATGTAGTTAGATAGATCTATAGAAGTAAATCTTTTTTTTATGAAAGGTTTGTTTTACCTAGTTGTTCTTTTAGCATCTATGTAAAGTTTCATTCTTTTAATTTTATACTATTAAAATGGAATGCTACAATAATCAATAATAATAAAATTAAAAAATAAATAATAACTTTAAATTTAATGTTTGAAATAACAACAATAATAATAAAACTGTAATTCATTATTTAATTAAAATTAATTTATAATATAATTTCTTAATTTCTTAATTTTATTATATTACAAAAATATTTTAAACTTTTTTTTGTTTTTATTTATTTTTAATTCAAAAAATATTTTTTTTTTCATTTTTCTTTATTCTCTTAGTATAAGGTAAATTTCTCATTTATTCAATCCTTGGGCAAATCCCCTTTATTCTTGCACTACTTGTTGATCACGTTTGAGATACGTTTGAAATTGCACTGTCAGATCAGATGTATCAGTGATCAATGCGTGACTCGGCATTTAGAAAGTAAAGTTTATATTTTCAAATCGTCTTGTTAGGTGTGACTTAATTTGTCTTTCTCTGTTATAAAAGTCTATCACATACATAGTTTTTATTTTTATCTTCGTTTTTCTTTTCTGATTTTTGTTTACTTTTTGGGTACTCTGAACTTTCAGGTCCATCTTCCTGTTTTTCGACCTTTGAACTGTTATGGCTTCCTCAAGTGGAAGAGAAACATCGTCAGGATCGTCCACGATTCAAAATTCTGGTTCAGAGGAGGATCAGAGGAAGAGGAAGAGAATGACATCTGTATAGTATAAAATATTAACCGAGTGGTTACAAACAACCAACCGGATATTCAGGTAATCTGTTTATATCTTATTCTGTTTATATTTTATTGGGCTTATATTAGCTCAGGATCCATGAGGTAAATTATAAATACAAAGCCAGGGCCAAAAGCCAGGTACCTTCCACTTACGCATTATTTACTCTACATGACTCTAAAATACTCAAGAGTGATAACCACTCACTAAATATTCAACCAAGAGCCGAGGCTCTTCAAATCTCACGCCTAACTTGAGCGTCGGAGTATCTTTTGCAGGTACATCCACCCCCGTCCAAAAGGAGACCGATCGGCTTGCGCCAACACCGATCGGCCAACAGCTGGAGTTTGGAAGCGAGCGAGCGGCCCAGACGCGTCAACAGGTTAGTCTCTCGGTCCCCAAAAGTATCCACCGAAACAACATCGAACCGGGAATCAGCGAGGAAGTATCGAATGAGGAAACAGAGGCACTTGGAAGGTCTGGTTGCAACGGTGGCCCAGCTCAAGAATGAGAATCAGCGTATTATCCAATCAATCAATATCGCTAACCAACGTATGAAGAATTCTGAAATTGATAACTCAGTTCTGAGAGCAGAAATGACTAAGTTGAGCTCTAGGCTTTGGAGCTTAAGATTCTATGATGTGTTTTTGAGTTTCAGAGGGGAAGATACGCCTGTTTCTTTCGTTTCACATCTCTATGCCTCTCTTCAAAATGCTGGAATCATTGTTTTCAAGGATGATGAGTCACTTCCAAGGGGAGATCACATCTCATACTCTCTGTTGCAAGCAATTGAACAGTCTCGAGTTTTTGTTGTTGTCTTCTCTAGGAACTATGCAGAGTCACAATGGTGTCTGAATGAGTTAGTGAGCATAATGCAGCGTCACAGAACCACAGGGCATGTGGTACTTCCAGTGTTCTATGGTGTTGATCCTTCTGAGGTTCGACATCAAACAGGCGAGTTTGGTAAAGCTTTTCAAAGCCTTTCGAACAGAACTTTTACAGAGGTATTGGACTTCCAACCTTTATCTTTTTGAGAAAAAAAATCAATCAGAAAAGGAAAAGTCAATAGTTTCAAGCGAAGATTGCATAAAAAATAAGAAAATTATGGGTAAAACAAATTTATTTGTGTACATACTATATATAAATACTACAAGAAAATGGGGAGAGAAATAATTCTTACAGAAAATAATATTTATATTTTATGAGCGTAATTAGATTGTGTAGTGAATTAAATGTTTTATAAATACTTATTTTGTCATTTTTTCTTTGAAAAAAAGGTTTGTAATAGTATGCAAATACGAGCTAATCGACTTAATTCTGATATTGATTTATGTGATTATTCTATATTTATTTATTTTTAAATTTATAATAAGGTATTATTATGAATTTTGATATTTTAATTAGGTTGATATTTTAAAATTTATTAATTATCTACCACATGAAAAATGTCATATAAAAAATAAAATATAAAATCATAAGGACTACACCAAACTCATGTAAAGAAAATTTGATTGTAGTTGCATAATTTTTCAACTAGTCTTAGAGCATTGGATGTTATTACTATTTGTTACATCATAAACTAATGAATAGGAATAGAATTTAAGTGGGGTGGAGAAGATAAAAAGGTAAAAGTTGAGAAGTTTGGTGGTGCAATCTTTAATTTTTGGAACATCTCAATAAAGGATTGTATGTATCACATGTAGTTATACCAACCTCTCCTAGGATATTTATCTATTTGATTTTATCATGCAATGTTGCTCTCAACATGGCAAAGGAAGTATACCCATCAAGTGTTGTGTTAGTTCTTTCCAATATGTACGAGAAAACTTTAGTTTCAAACAAAGTTTATTTGATAAGACAATTATTTAATTTGAGATGAAAAAAGAAACACCAATCATACATCATCCTGATGAACTTGTTACAAAACAAGAGAGTTTCATTAAACTGAATTTCATGAAAAATTATAGACCCTAATTCTTTTTTATCTTCTGTGCCAAAAAGTTGGAATGTGTTGAATATAGTAAAACCACTAAAAGAATAATCTCTTTTATATTAAACATACATATTAATACTTATTTATAATAGAAGAAATATAAGTAAGTTTAAAATATAAATAAAAAATAATAATAAACTAATTAAAGATAAAAAATAAAAATAAAATATCTATAAAGACTTAGTAAAAATACTAGCTTGAGTGACATTAACATGAGTAAACTATTTTTTAAACACTTACTCAACAACTTGGAGATATAATTAGCTGAACTTTTAATCAATTTTGTATGTAATAATTTTTGTATTTATTTTATTATATATAAATCTGACTATGGGAAATCTACCTAATTTCTTAACAACAACAGGAAAGTGAGAAGCAGCGTTGGATGGAGACACTTCGTGAAGCTGCCAGCATCTCAGGGATTGTAGTCCTAAATTCCAGGTACTTTCACTTTTTCTGTGTTCTTAGAATTTTTCATAAAATATTTAACATTCCATAATACTTAAATCTTCCACTAACCAATTCAATTGACTGGCTAAACATGCAAAGATATATGAGATAACAAATTTGATATCAAGTGAAGATTAATGTTACTAAACATGAAATCCTAATATATGTATCTTTCTCTTGTGTTGAGAAATGAAAGTATGTACAATCCACCACTGTATAAACTTAATGGAGGAACACACTTGCCCAACTATGTTTTCTCTTTGCAAAAATTCCCTCCAAGTCTGATGCATATATGTATACACCATTTTGTGGTTCATTTTTATCTTACAGAAATGAGAGTGAGGCTATCAAAAGCATTATTGAAAATGTTACACGTTTGTTAGACAAGACAGAGCTGTTCATTGCTGATAATCCAGTGGGAGTAGAATCTCGGGTGCAAGACACGATTCAGCTGCTGGATCTGAAAAGATCAAACGATGTTCTACTGCTAGGAATGTGGGGAATGGGAGGCATTGGTAAAACAACCATTGCAAAAGCCATTTATAACAAGATTGGTCGTAATTTTGAGGGAAGGAGCTTCCTTGCACAAATTAGGGAAGTTTGGGGGAAAGACGGTGGCCAGGTCTGCTTGCAAGAACAAGTTTTGTTTGATATCAACAAAGAAACAAAAACAAAGATACACAACGTTGAATTTGGAAAAAATATATTAATGCAAAGGCTTCGCCATAAAAGGGTACTTCTTATACTTGATGATGTGAATAACTTGCACCAATTAAATACTCTGTGTGGAAATCGTGAATGGTTTGGTTCAGGAAGTAGAATCATCATCACAACCAGAGATATGCATATACTTAGAGGGAGTAGAGTTGACAAATTATACATGATGGAAAGGATGGATGAAAGCGAATCTGTTGAGCTCTTTAGTTGGCATGCATTCAAGCAAGCAAGTCCTAGAGAAGATTTTGCAGAACTTTCAAGAAGTGTAATTGCATATTCTGGGGGATTGCCACTTGCTCTTGAGGTCCTTGGGTCCTATTTGTTTGATATGAAGGTAACAGAGTGGAAGAGTGTACTGGAGAAACTCCAGAAAATTCCAAATGACGAAGTGCAGGAGAAGTTAAAAATAAGCTATGATGGTCTAAGTGATAATACTGAGAAAGAAATATTTCTTGATATAGCTTGCTTCTTTATTGGAATGGACCGAAATGATGCCATACATATATTAAATGGCTGTGGACTTTGTGCAGAAAATGGAATACGTGTCCTAATAGAGCGAAGCCTTGTGACTGTAGATCATAACACGCTTGGTATGCATGATTTGTTACGAGACATGGGAAGAGAAATCATTCGTGGAAAATCACCAAAGGAACCTGAAGAACGTAGCAGATTATGGTTTCATGAGGACGTGCTTGATGTACTATCAAAAGAAACTGTAAGACCTTCATATATTGTTAAAATTCATTTCTACGACTTTTTGTACCACATCTATAAGCCATTCATTATTTTACCCTTTTCACCATTTTATTTCATAGGGAACAAAAGCTATTGAGGGATTGGCTTTGAAGTTACCAAGAACTAGCACAAAATGTTTGAATACTAAAGCTTTTAAGAAGATGAAGAAACTTAGGTTACTGCAACTTGCTGGTGTAGATCTTATTGGGGATTACAAATATCTTTCCAAAGATCTGAGATGGCTTTGTTGGCGTGAATTTCCTTTAACATCCTTTCCAGCAAACTTCTATACAAGAAGTCTTGTTTCTGTTGAGTTAGAACACAGTAATGTTACACATGTCTGGAAAGAAGCCCAGGTATGAGTTTAGTTTTATGCATTTTATTTCATGAAATTGATAGGACCTTAAGGGTCTATGAAAGGAGGAAGGGAATTAAAAACAATATATGATGTTTAGGAGGAGGGAAAGTTAGTTAGACAGTTGGGGTAGGTGTGTTTGGGTTTAGGTGTTAGCTATATACGGGGGAGAGAGTGTCTCGAGGAAGACACGNACTAAAGCTTTTAAGAAGATGAAGAAACTTAGGTTACTGCAACTTGCTGGTGTAGATCTTATTGGGGATTACAAATATCTTTCCAAAGATCTGAGATGGCTTTGTTGGCGTGAATTTCCTTTAACATCCTTTCCAGCAAACTTCTATACAAGAAGTCTTGTTTCTGTTGAGTTAGAACACAGTAATGTTACACATGTCTGGAAAGAAGCCCAGGTATGAGTTTAGTTTTATGCATTTTATTTCATGAAATTGATAGGACCTTAAGGGTCTATGAAAGGAGGAAGGGAATTAAAAACAATATATGATGTTTAGGAGGAGGGAAAGTTAGTTAGACAGTTGGGGTAGGTGTGTTTGGGTTTAGGTGTTAGCTATATACGGGGGAGAGAGTGTCTCGAGGAAGACACGTTTTGTTGTTAGTTGTTTGACAGGAATATTACATCTTGTGTGAAGGAAGAATTGTTTTCTTGGATGCTATCGAACATTTCCTTTGTACCTCGTATATCAATACAGTCTACTTTTTGTGAGTTGTGTGAGTGTTGTGTGTTAAATCAAGGGTGTCTTGGCAAGAAACCTATCAATTGGTTCGACCTCTGAAGGGGAAAGTCATGGAAGGGAGAATGAGCATGCTAGAAAGAATGGTTAGTGAACAAGGAATGGCCTTGGACAGTCTATGGGAGGAGACCAGAGAAAGACATCAATGGTGTAGAATGCTCCCTTTCATCTTTTGTTGGTATTATTGAAGCAAGACTTTCTTGAAGTTTTGACAACCCCGATAAAGAAGAAAACCACCCCATGCTTCCTGTCTTCAGCCGGAGTCTTACCCCTTCTTCCTCACTTTATTAGAAGGAAGTTTGTTTTGCCTATTTGCTGAAATGTCCTTTCGATATTCTCATCATCACCATTAAAAAGGTCTTCTAAGATGTAACTTTAATATGTTTAAATACATACATGCATATATGTATATATATATATATATATATATATATATATATATAATATGTTAAATGATCACGAGATAATGTTTTCAAACTAATATAGAAAAGATTTGAGATTTTTTTTTAAAATATTGGAATTTTGGTATAACCTGAAAAAAAAATGTTAGAGTTAGTGAAATTTACACAAATAAATATTTGACTTGCTATTCACGAAGGTTTGTTTGTGATACATTGCAATTGAGTTGGGTTAAACTCCCAACCACGTGTCTAAAAGATCTAAATTAATCCAACTCATTTTGTCTCACTTAACTTAAGTGGAGAGGGGTCTTCTAAGTTAAGAAGGAGTGTAAATTTTGCAACCTTTGGGATAGAAAGAGAAAAAGAGAAAATTTGTTGGCATATTCACCAAGCTACCTTAGTAAAAGTATGATTCCCGAGCTTTGTTAATCGCTGGATCGGGCTGAAATATTTTCTGCAGGTTTGGTGGTTGTCAATTGAACGTTTGTAGTTAGAGATATCAGGGTTCAACTATTATTCTATTTTAGGTTTTTTATTTCTTTGTTCTTCATGTAAGAAAGTATTATTGTTTTGATGCATTGGTTGTAGACACTTATTTATACTTTTAATTTGATTCTCTTGTACCCTTATTTAATATTAGTGGAACTTGATTGACTGACGTGCATGTGGATTTTTATCTCACGAGGGATTTTTCACGTTAAAAGTATTGATATTCTCATTTTTTATATTATTGTTACCATTTTCTATTGTTGTTGCTCTTTAGTTTGTGATAATTATTTCTGCTTCATACGCTTCCATTTATGTTTTAAGGATTTATTTCTAAATTTTCTTTATGGTATTTAATTTCTTGCAGGTGATGGAGAATCTGAAAATTCTCAATCTAAGTCATTCTCACAGTTTAACTCATAGTCCAGACTTTTCCAATATGCCTAATCTCGAAAAGCTAGTTCTCGTAGGTTGTCCAAGGTTGTCAAATGTTTCCCCAACCATTGGACATCTCGATAAAGTTCTTCAAATAAATTTGCAAGATTGTATCAGTCTTCGTAACCTTCCAAGAAGTATCTATAAGTTGAAATCTCTTAAAACACTCATTCTTTCAGGCTGTCTAATGATTGATAAGTTGGAAGAGGACATAGAACAGATGGAGTCTTTGACAACCCTTGTTGCTGATAAGACTGCAATCACAAAAATTCCTTTTTCTATTGTAAGATCAAAAAGCATTGCGTATATTTCTTTGTGTGGCTATGAAGGGTTCTTACGAGATGTGCTTCCATCTATCATCTGGTCTTGGATGTCTCCAACGAATAGTCTTTCATCCCATATGCAAAGATTTGCGGGCATTTCATCTCTTGCTTCTTTAGATGTGCCAAATAACAGTTCCCATCATCTAGCATCTATTTCCAAGGACCTTCCAAAACTTCAAAGTCTTTGGGTAGAGTGTGGCTCTAAACTTCAATTATCTCAAGATACGAAAATTATTTTAGATGCTTTACATGATACAAATTCAGGGGAATCAGAAACAACTGCAACTACATCACAAATGTCAAATATCAATGCTTTTACATTAATTGAATGCAACAGTCAAGTTCACCTATCAGGATCAAATAGATCTCTTTTAATTCAAATGGGAATGAGTTCTAAGGTCTCCTACAATCTAAAAGAGAGCATTTTACAGGTTTTCCTCTTTCTCTCTTTCATTATCTTATACTTTTAAAATATATATATACGTAGTATTGTATATCTTATAAGGTTTAAGTATTGCCTTATCATATATATATATATATATACACACACGTAGTATTGTATATCTTATAAGGTTTAAGTATTGCCTTATCTTTCGGCAGTTGATTTTTTTTTAATATAACAATTGCAGGTGGTTATTGAAGTGTATAATATTATGTCAGTATAAAATATTGAAAAATATAAAAGTGATCATACAACAAACGTTGGTAGTAGACTCTACTTAAAATGTTCTTTTTAATATTACATTAATAACTAAGAAACTTGTTGAAATGAACTCTGGGTTGGTAATATTTGGTTCGAGAAAAGTTGTCATATGCAGAGAAAAAATTGCATCAAACATTGACAAAAAAAAATTGCTTTATAGACTAGTCTTAAATATTGTGTAATGTTTTTAAGAATTATTTTTATTTTAGAAGATACGGTAACAAATAAGAAACTTGTTGAAAGGAACTATTGGTTTGTGATATTTGTTAGATATAAATAGAAAAGGAGAGGAGAGGAAAAACGAGATGAATTTTATATCTTGAGCTTTAGCTCTTTCTGATGGAGAAGCCCTTGGAGGACAGAGCGCCCTCCTATTTCTTGTTCTTTTCATTATATTGAATGAAAGCATTTTCTTGCTCTTTTCAATTCTTGGTTCTTAACAGATTCTCAATTTATAGTTGGTTAAATCAATCGTTAGTAATAGGTAAAGGATCATATGCTGCTGTTACCATCGTGTGATCATCGTTATGGCTGACTTTAAAGGGGCAACGCTCAAGGACATGCTTGAGAGAAGTAGCCATGCATGCTTACATTTTGTCAAAACAAGTCAAAACAAAACGGGGTGGCATGAATCCATCATCTAACAAGCACTATTGCCCCTAACAATACGAACGGACGAATAATGCTTGGTTGTAGATAAAAACCAAGGCTGTTGGAAGCAACCTTAAAGAATTGCAGACAAAAACAATAATCATCACCAAGAGGACGATTTGTACAAACATGGATATTCTGCACCACTAGTGAAGTGTGTCTTTGAAAGATAAGTCGAGTACACCATGAACAATATGTGGACTATTAGTAAAAGTTATTCAAAAACTAAGCAGTATAGAAACAATTGAAACAAATTTTCAGAAGAGAAGAACTGCAACTCAATTCTTACATAATTACAATATTACAACACTGAAAAACATAACTTCCTAAATGAAACATTACTTTCCATTAGCCAACTTCCCATGAGTCAACCCATAAATTGTTCTTACAGAGCCGANCGCTCAAGGACATGCTTGAGAGAAGTAGCCATGCATGCTTACATTTTGTCAAAACAAGTCAAAACAAAACGGGGTGGCATGAATCCATCATCTAACAAGCACTATTGCCCCTAACAATACGAACGGACGAATAATGCTTGGTTGTAGATAAAAACCAAGGCTGTTGGAAGCAACCTTAAAGAATTGCAGACAAAAACAATAATCATCACCAAGAGGACGATTTGTACAAACATGGATATTCTGCACCACTAGTGAAGTGTGTCTTTGAAAGATAAGTCGAGTACACCATGAACAATATGTGGACTATTAGTAAAAGTTATTCAAAAACTAAGCAGTATTGAAACAATTGGAACAAATTTTCAGAAGAGAAGAACTGCAACTCAATTCTTACATAATTACAATATTACAACACTGAAAAACATAACTTCCTAAATGAAACATTACTTTCCATTAGCCAACTTCCCATGAGTCAACCCATAAATTGTTCTTACAGAGCCGAGACGTAACCTACAAAAACTTCCAAGACTTATTGAATGCTTCCAACCTTCAATCCTCAAAATATTCATCTTCATTCATATGAAAGGTGTTGTGCCTTTAGAAGACAACGCTCAAGTCAGTCTCTCACATCCGCATGTAATAAATTCGTAATTAATGAAAACGTAAATCATTTACCTCGTAATAAGTGCTATTTATACTTATCGAATGCGTTTTTTACTTAAATGGGCCAAGGCCCATTGATCCAAATACTTGTTGTATCATGGACTATCGTAGTTAATCATGAGAATGGTGTTTCTCATGATATCGGTATTCCGTAGTCGTCCTATAGAGTTTTGCAAAGAAAATACCTGATAACGAAACTTAACCAGAAAAACCTCTCACACACTCAAAGTAAAATAATAATGAAAGAATGGAATTGAACTAAAGAATTTCTTTTATTGATGGTAATATTTGAATAAACAAAGGTAAAAAATAATTGGAAGCATAACCCCCTTCAATTACTTTGGGAGCATAACCTCCCTCACAGGTAGCCGTCTGTCAACAACTCAATAATCAAAAGCATACCTTTAACCCTAGACTCTCCCTTTATTTATACTAATTATTTCCTAAATAAAATGTTTTCCTAGAATAAAATCTTTCCCTAGAATAAAATATAAATATTGTTCTAAATAAAATCTTTCCTTAGAATAAAATATGAATATTGTTCTAAATAAAATATTTCCCTAAGATATATTCTTATTTACTATAATTATTTTTAAATATTTCCCGCATATCCTAATTGTTGTCGTAGTTAGGATAGTCACTCTTCAACCGATCGGATCCAGCTCCCGTTCGGCTTTGGTTCCCCTACACCCTACCGTTTGGCTCTAGCTCTTCAACACCTTCCACCGTTCGGCTAGACCTCTCCACGCCTTCCACCGTTCGGCTATCGTTCGGCCTTTACGGTTAATACCGTTCGGCCTCACTTCCCTCCTACCTTCCTTCTCCTTCTCATATACTTTTCAAACCTTATTATTACCCCCTACCTTATACCATAACATTACACCCCGCTGCAAAACAACCTTGTCCTCAAGGTTGGAACTATGAAACTTGATCTCCTGGCTTCTCTTCATCATCGTGTTATCATATGAAGGGTACCCACTGGTTGTTGCCCTCCAATTGAGGTCAGGAGGTTTGGGTGGTGGTAAAACCTCCTCCAATGTCTTCCATTCTCTGTCTAGCATTCTGGTCACCACTTTTCCAGAATCATAAGCCTTGAGGAATTGGTCTTCGATGTCTTTCAGTACTTCACGTCGCTCTCTCCCTTCTATCGGTGTATCAAAAACTACAAGTTCCTTTTTTTGTTTGTTGGCCCACCTCCTCACAGAATACATCATTCTCTCTAGGCCATTGATTCTTCCATCTGCCCTTGCTTCCAACGCCTTCATTCTTCCTCCCAGAACTAGACCGTTCGGTTCCAGTAGTTTTCTCATGTTCGGTTCCCGCCGTGCTCTACCGTTCGACTCGGGCAGTCCTCCCTCTTTAGGTCCCGTCCGTTCTCTCACGGTCGGATCCAGAAGTCGGATCCAGAAGTCTGCTATCGTCCGGTTCCTATAGTCCTCTCATGTTTGCTTCCAATAGTCCTAGACCGTTCGGTTCCGGCAATTCTCTCACATTCGGTTCCGGTCGTAGTTTTACGTTCAGCTCCGTTAGTCCTCTACCGTTCGGTTCCAGAAGTTCTTTCCCGTTCGGAGTTTGGACGTATTCTTCCACGGTCCCCGACTGCTTACTGGCCGCCACCCCTTCAACGGTTGTGCCCCTGTTCCGTTCTCCAAATCGCCACACCATTGCCCCCTTCAGACCTTCCCACGAACGATTCTTGGCTTTCTCCTTCCAAACTCTGAACCAATATCCACCACTTCCCTCCATACTGATGTAGGCTAGGTGCACCTTCTCTTCCTCGGACACTCCCTGTATTTCAAAGAATTTCTCAGCTCTGTTGACCCAATTCAATGGATCAATGCCTTCAAAAACTGGTAACTCTACCCTTTGTCTCCAATTGGGTTGCTCCTCCTGGCATCCACCCTCTCTCTTGTTGACAGACCCTTGGCTCCCATCCGAATTTCCACCTAGATGTCGGGCTCGCCCTCCCATCATCCTCTTCACTTCTTGGATTGCCTCCTCCAATCCCCCCATGGATATCCCTATGGTCTCCAATTTCACTTCGACTGCAGTCATTCTTTCCTCCATGATATNCGTTCGGTTCCAGAAGTTCTTTCCCGTTCGGAGTTTGGACGTATTCTTCCACGGTCCCCGACTGCTTACTGGCCGCCACCCCTTCAACGGTTGTGCCCCTGTTCCGTTCTCCAAATCGCCACACCAATGCCCCCTTCAGACCTTCCCACGAACGATTCTTAGCTTTCTCCTTCCAAACTCTGAACCAATATCCAACACTTCCCTCCATACTGATGTAGGCTAGGTGCACCTTCTCTTCCTCGGACACTCCCTGTATTTCAAAGAATTTCTCAACTCTGTTGATCCAATTCAATGGATCAATGCCTTCAAAAACTGGTAACTCTACCCTTTGTCTCCAATTGGGTTGCTCCTCCTGGCATCCACCCTCTCTCTCGTTGACAGACCCCTGGCTTCCATCCGAATTTCCACCTAGATGTCGGGCTCGCCCTCCCATCATCCTCTTCACTTCTTGGATTGCCTCCTCCAATCCCCCCATGGATATCCCTATGGTCTCCAATTTCACTTCGACTGCAGTCATTCTTTCCTCCATGATATCTTTTACTCCTCTCAATCACTATCCGGCTGGCCTCTAACTCCTCTTTGTCGATCCGGTAGGTCGGACCAATTGTTACGTACCTGAGTACGAAACTTAACCAGAACAACCTCTCACACACTCAAAGTAAGCAAAATAATAATGAAAGAATGGAATTGAACTAAAGAATTTCTTTTATTGATGGTAATATCTGAATAAACAAAGATAAACAATAATTGGGAGCATAATGTCCTTCAATTACTTTGGGAGCATAACCTCCCTCACAAGATGGTAGCCGCCTGTCAAAAACTCAATAATCAAAAGCATACATTTAACCCTAGACCTCTCTCTTTATTTATACTAATTATTTCCTAAATAAAATATGTCCCTAGAATAAAATATTTCCCTATAATAAAATATTTCTCTAGAATAAAATCTTTCCTAGAATAAAATATAAATATTGTTCTAAATAAAATCTTTCCCTATAATAAAATATGAATATTGTTCTAAATAAAACATTTCTCTAAGATATATTTTTATTTACTATAATTATTTCTAAATATTTCTCGCCTATCCTAACTGTTGTCCCAGTTAGGATAGTCACTCTTCAACCGATCGGGTCTAGCTTCTGTTCGGCTTTGGTTCCCCTGCACCCTACCGTTCGACTCC